TGCCGCTGTCAGCAGACAGGCTACTGGGTTAGATGGACCTTTGGTCTGACCCAGTACGGCTATTCTTATGTTCTAAGCTCAGGGCTCAGAATCAGGGATATCACTGGACCACCTTGATTTTCATGCAAACCTGTTCCTGGGTTTGCATGTGGCCTTTGGTGGCCAGGCTGGCAGCTATCCTGCCCTAGACAGCCACTTTCCTGTGCCTAGTGCGGACGTTCCCAGGAAGAGGCGGAGGGCTGGGTGGCTGGCTCGTGCCATGCCAGGTGCAGGGTCTGCTGGCTGGGTGCTAGTAGGCTTGCACCTGGCACGGGCATCGTAGCCAGACCGTGCCCCTTTAAGGGCTTCGGGGCTGGGAGGGGGGGCAGAAGAGTTTCCCTGGTGGTGCCCAGAGTGGCCACCAGGGCAAGTTGGGGAGGGCTAGCCTCCCACTAGTTCAAATTAAGTGGCTACACAGCCCTTAATTCGAACTACTTAATTCGAACTAGGCGTTAACCTCATTCTACGAGGACTTACCTAGTTCGAATTAAGCGCTCCACTAGTTCGAATTAAGTTCGAACTAGCGGTTTATATGTGTAGCGCCTATCAAAGTTAATTCGAACTAACATTTGTTAGTTCGAATTAACTTTGTAGTGTAGACGTACCCTTAGTTACAAGATGAGTCTTTGAGCATACTCCCCACCTAAGATGAGGCTAGATCGGGGGTGGGCAAATTCTGGCCTTCAGGCGAGATCTGGTCCAGAGGATTAGTCCTTGGTGGGTCTCCACCTTTATATTTACCCACATCTTCACAGGTATTGGGCAATCGTAGCTCTAATTAGCCACAGATCACCATTTGCAGACACTGGGAGCAGCGGGAAGTGGTGCAGATCAGGACTTTTTTTTTTTTTTTTTTTTTGCCCGTCCCTGGGCTAGATGCAGCTATGAAAGAAATGTGCCACAAAGGCCCTTCCCAAATTGAAATGTTGCTTTCCAACGCAGTTCAGTAGATAAAATTAATCTCAATTGTTTGGTAGCTCCATGACTTCATTCACACTGGAGTTAGGGCCCTTGCTAAAGGAACTTTCATTAAACATTATGGGGCTCTGAGCTCATTAGGAGCCACAGACAGCCCTTGACAGAACCTTGGGTGTGGGCTATGAGTAAAACTATGTAAGAAATGTGCCTGAATTTCTAGAACTACATCAGCCCTCCTTTGGTTGGCTTTTTCGAAAGGCCATAATGCTTTGCTGTTTATTGGAGGAAAGGCCAGATGCTATACTTCATTCTAGCCCAGCAGTTCCCAAATTTTTCCAGATGGGGACCCATTTTGACAATTCAGGAAGATTTGGTGACCCAAGGCAATTCAAAAACGGGGGGAAATGAGAGGGCAGAGCCACCTGGGGAGACACATTTCAAAAGGGTCTCCAAGTAATGGCGACCCATATTTGGGTCCCGACCCATAGGTTGGGAAACCCTGATTTAGATGTTTTGTCTTGGTCTGGAGCTCACCATTTGAAGCCCACCTCCCTCCTTGATTTCAGGGCTCAAGCTTGAATGTCTACACAGTTGTTTATCGTGCCTTTGCTCAAGTCTGTAGACCCAGGCTCTGATACTTGCTGTTGCTTGCCATGTAGACATATGCTAGCAATGCAGTCATCCCAATGCTGGGAGAGCGAAAGTGCAGGCCAGATGTTGGCCAGTTGTCTTATAGGTACAGATTTACTTATCTTTGCTACAGAGCTCCAGCATGCAGGGTTCCATCTTGATTGAAGCAAAACTGTTAATCACAATGCAGCATAAAAACAATTGTGTCTGAAATCTGCGCTGTTTTATGCGAAGGAAAAACATGAGAGTTGTCATGTGACTCTAAGCTTCTATGATGATTTGACTGCCAAAGATCACTCACAGTTCATCTTCTTCTTTCAGGATTTCCTGATGATGTTTGTCCACCACTGGTTTGCAGTTGGACTCATCACATTCTCCTATGTGAATAACATGGTGCGGGTGGGAACTCTGGTGCTATTCCTACATGATGCCGCAGACTTCCTCTTAGAGGTGAGTTTGCTGCTTCCCACCTGAGCTTTGCATCCCTAATGATAAAGGGCCTCACTCTTGAGGCTGGAGGATGAAACCTAGCCTCTCCTCTTTCATCCCTTACCCTTCCACACACAGTTCAGGCTGGATCTCCCATAAACACTCATTACTGAATCTACCCCACTGGCTTTCTCCCATAAAATTTCCCAAGTTGATAATAGTTCTTTAATGTTCCAAACTCCTCCAGGATTGCTTTCTCTGTGATCACATGATTGTCTGGAATGCTGTTTTAACATGACTATAAAACCAGTCTTCCTTACATTTAATACATCATTGACATCAAAAGCTAAGTATGGGACATTTCCAACCTGCTCGGTTAGCCTTATTAGCACCAGCATCACAATTGTCCCCCTCTCCCTTTTTTCTGTTCTAAATTCAGAGTGCCACTTTTTTCTCCATTCAAGTTCATCTAAGGAAGTGAGCGTTGCCCATGAAAGCTCATATGCTGTGCTATGCTATATATTTTTTGTGTTAGTTTTTAAGGTGCCACAGGACTACTCATTGTTTTAACACTTTGTTTTTGTCAGGCTGCAAAGATGGCCAATTATGCTAAGTACCAGCGCCTATGTGACGCCATCTTCATGTTCTTTGGTGTTGTGTTCATAGTCACTCGACTGGTTATTTACCCTTACTGGTAAGTACCTGGATCTTTCTGAGTAACGTCAGATATGCTCCTTTGTTCCTACCCTCCTCTAAAGTCAGCCTTCATATTAGGGATCCTATCGCTCATTACAGCCAGTCCCCCTCAGGGCGGCATGAAGCTGCAGCCCTCCCAAATGTTGCTCAGGAGCAGCGCTTTAAAATATTGTCAGAATGGTTTCTTCTTGATTTGTCATGTCCTTAGAGAAAGGGTACCCCGAGTGTGAGCACAGAGTCCCAAAGTGCCACTGGTGAGGAGGACAATGCTGATCAGTTGTAGCTGCTCTCTCAGCCAGTGTCAAACCAGGGTTGTGTACACAGGGAACTAAGATGGAGGGGGAAAAAAGGTGTGAAATTAAAGCTTGCTAAATCCTTCGTGGATTTGGAGGCTTAAGTTAAAGGAAAGGCCGCTTTACAGTTGACTTAGAACATTCACCCAGCAATGTAGTGTGCATTAACTTCATACCACTAGTAAATTTTTCCAGACTTTCCTGTGCATTCCAGTGTTGACAAACCCTTAAAACCAAAGGTGGTTTGTGACTTTCCATTTTAAGAGCTCATGAAAATTGAGGTGTTAGTGAGGCACGTCCTTCCTGAGGCAAGGTTCTCTTTGGGGCCCTCTGGTTTTTGATCATCTAAAGTACCTAGCTCTTTTCACTGCCTCGCCTGCTGGCCTGGGAAGATTGTCTGCCAGATATTGGGGTATTTTTTGGATTTAGAATCTTAGCTAAGATGTTTGTAATTAATCAGTCTGTAATAAGATTCCCCTCCTTTACACACACATGTAGACAAAGTCAGGCTTGATAGGATTCTTTTACTGATTATTATATTCCCTTTGGAAAGGTATCTTTTAAGGACTGGTTCACCTGAGTTTGTCTTTATCCTGCATCCTTATTTTTTAAACAACAGAGGCCTACTTTCTTTCTCTTTAGTTTTATCCCAAACTTCTTAGAAAAGCATCCCTATTTATTTTTGTATAACTCCAAATAAACATAAAGGGATCTAGGTTTGTTTAGTCTTCAGAAGAGAAGAGTGAGGGGGGATTTGAGAGCAGCCTTCAACTTCCTGAAGGGAAGTTCCAAAGAGGATGGAGAGAGGCTGTTCACAATAGTGATGGATGGCAGAACAAGGAGCAATGGTCTCAATTTACAGTGGGAGAGGTCTAGGCTGGATATTAGGAAAAACTTTCACTAGGAGGGTGGTGAAGCACTGGAATGGGTTACCTAGGGAGGTGGTGGAATCTCCATCCCTAGAGGTTTTTAAGTCTTGGCTTGACAAAGCCCTGGCTGGGTTGATTTAGTTGGGGTTGGTCCTGCTTTGAGAAGGGGGCTATACTGGATGACCTCCTGAGGTCTCTTCCAGCTTTATGGTTCTCGGTAGGGAAATTTTTCAGGCACAAATGATGTGCCCTTCAGATGGGCAGATGTTACCACTTTCTGCTGTCAAATGAGGCAGTCCTTTCTCTGTTCCTCACCCCATTGTCTGCCATGATGCAGGATGCTCTCTGGCACCACCCTGTCACTCAACATGTCTTATAAATCTGTAATGTGATTTCCACTGGCTGTAATGTAATTCCTCCGCTTCCTAGGGAGAACATGAATCTCCAGTTGCATGCAAAGGTGCTATACTATTCCAGTCAGTACAGGTTCCCGTCCTTGATCTGTGGTGCAGTGATATCCCACTCTTAGGAAACTGCATGCTGACTTCACAACTAGCTAGTGCCTAGGTAACCGTTATTTTTTAACTGAAATTAAGGCTCTGGATTTCCTCCCTGAAAGTTTATTTCTCACTTTTTCAATAAATGCTGAAAGCAAAATATTTAAAAAATTTCTCCTCAGTCCCTCCTAGTAACTACTTTATAAACCATCATCAAAAGGCTCTATTGAATTCCTTATGTGCTGCCAAAAAATCCCAGAGAGGAGAACGATGCCATAGCCGTCTTCAAGGAGCAGAGTGGAGTGAGGAAAAGGCTAGGAGTAGGGATGTTAAGCACTAGTCAACCAGATAGTCGACTAGATGTTCTCTCTCTCCCCCCGCCCCTCAGCCCATTGCTGCTACTATCAGATAGAGGCAGCAAGGGAGGGAAGTGGGGGGTACTTCAAAGTGGCAGCGCTGCTGTTTTGCAATGCCGCCATGCTGTTTCAAAGGGCACTAATACTGGGATCAGCTGTGCAGCGCTGTCTCACAGAGTCCGGGGTCAGCTGAGGATCCCAGGCTCCGTGCAGCACTGCCCCCTTTGAAATGCCATGGCTGCGTTTCAAAGGGGGCAGCACCGCCCTATCAACTAATCGAATAGTCAATGCAAAAATGCATCAACTATTCGATTAGTGAAATACCCAATACTTAAATTTCTTAGCTCGGAGCAAGGGAACAGCAGCTTCACTGTCAAAACTGCTTCAGAGCCCCCTCGTGGCAAAATTCTTTCCCTGCCTTTTGATGTAGTCAAGTTGTTCCATGCCACTCAACACCATGTATACATCCAAAGCAGCACTAGTGTTCCAAACAGTTGCCATCTCTCCCACTGAAGCCATTGTGAATGTTGATCATGCCTTGGAGAAAAGGGTAGAAAGCAGATTTTTATTTTTACTCTATTCTTCTCAGTGTATCCACATCTTCCATTGCTGCTTAGTTCAGGTGACTTTAACCCAAGCCCAGCTTCAGGCCCTTCTATACTGTGCAAGGGATGGTAGATTGGGGCATCGAACAATGCAAGAGAAGGTTAAATGGCACAGAACCCTGTTGTGTATCTGCCCAGCCAGCTCGGTTCAGAGCTGGAAAATGGGAATTCTAGTCCAGCAGCAGAGCAGCCAATCTAACAAGCTCCCTGATTTTCTTTCAGGATCTTGAATACTACTCTGTTTGAGAGCTGGGAACTGATTGGACCTTATCCTTCATGGTGGCTGTTCAATGGACTTTTGGTGACCCTGCAGGTTATGCATGTCATCTGGTCCTGTCTCATCATTCGCGTTGCCTACAAGGCCTTGATGCGAGGAAAGGTAAGGCTGTCAGTCGCTGAGCGGGATTCTCTCTCTGACACTGAGAGGATCAGGGCATCTGTTAAAAAATCAGAGGGAGTGAGGCCACTGTTGGCTCCAAAATAAGAGTAGCACATTTGCTGCTTCTGAGAGTGGCTCACTTCATCTAGAGCTGTCCTGGTTGGTTAGGTTTGGCAGGCTCCTGCACCCACCTGGCCCAAGTGTATACAGAGGGAGGTACCTGTTTCTTGATCGTCTGGCCATACAAGTGAATAGTGCAGTTTGGCCTGCTCAAATGCTTTAATGACAATCCGTTTAGTTTGTGCATTGCTCTGCTTGTTCTGGTAACTTGATCAAGGCTTTTGCCTTTCCCCTTGTGGAAGCTTGAAGACCAACTGCTCTGTGTGCATTACAAAGCGGGGAAGGTTGTGCTCCCTGGTTTAATCTGGAGCTGCCATTAGAGGCCTCTGACTATCTTGGGGAAACTGTCTGTGTTACACAATGGACCCTTACCATAGGGTGACTGGAGCCTAATATTTGGAGCTTGCTACAGTAGTAACCCAGGACTAGGGCTGCCTATGCATATCCCAACAGTGCAGCAAGGTAAACCAGGCAATGGAGGCTACTGGAAATGTAGTGCGACCTGCTGACAGTTAGTGGGACTCTAGTGTCCGGTTTCAAGTGTGTAGAATGCTCTGGGTAGAATGAATTCCTCCTGGATAAAAGGGTGTGGACACAAGCTCTTCCTGTAAGAGGGAAAGGTCCTGCTATCTGCTGCAGACCCAGTTGCCTCAGAGAGGAGGTATGTATAAGTGTAGCTCAGTTAGTGTTGGGCCATCAAGCATGATGTGCTCTCCTCCTTGGAGCTTGTCCCTCTCCCTGTGTTGCCACTTCATTTAAAAAAAAATCTTGGCCTGTCTGCTATTCTAGCCAACACCTGGAGTAAGAATTGAAGGCCTTGAAGTGGCTGTCCTGTCCCCAGCACATAAAAGCTTAGATGCGCTATTACTGGCCTGGACTCTGATGCCAGTGCTGCTTTGTTGAATTATACTGGAGTTTCCAGGATTCTGGCCAGTTTTGTTTACAGAGGAGCAACTGTGCCTCATCAAAGGCATGATCCTTTGGAACAGAATGCTGCAAAGTCCTTCCATACAGCTTGAAAGACATGACCGGGAGGCAGCCTGAACTATGTTCTTCTGGCTCTTATGTGACATCCAAGGAATAGAAGGAACTTTTCAAGTCGTGGCTTTTAAGTAAATGCCATGTGACAAGGGCAGATCATACCAGATGCAACCCATGGGCTTCTAGCACAGTTTTTCCCCCAATTGTCTGTAGTTGAGGATTTCCATACAGCAGGGTAGATGGAGGAGACAAATCTGCAGGCATTTGACTAGTGATAGGCCCTGAGTAAGTTTGCTGTTGAGTTCCTCCCCACTGAGTCAATGCTATTGAGAAGTTGTTTTCAGGTCAGTGGCTGAAGGCTGGAGTACTTTGTCTGGGATCCTGCTCCCCATTTTTACCCACTTGTCATGACTGGAAGTGGTTTCTTTCAGAACCAGGCAATGCTGTTTGATCCTCCTCCAGAAGGGATAGTTAGACAGTAACATAGTTTATATCACCTTAGCTGTTTGGGAACCAAGCCTGAATCCCACTTGTGGCTGTGTTTTCACTGCCTACAGACTACTGGTCAGGTCTGTTTGGAACTTGTTTAGCCTAGAGGAATATTTGAAGTGGAGTGTGTGTTGGGGAAGGCCTTCTGAGGGGTGGGGAAGGAACATGTTGCAAGGTGTATGTGTGGTCTGTTATCATTTGTTGCTGTCTTCCATGGCTGCTGCTAGTTTCCCAATATCATATCTGTCTGTGCAGCTGTCCCCACACCTGGATATCTATATCTCTCTTCTCTCCTTGCTTTTCTCTCCTGACCAGGTGACCTAGCCAGGGAAGGACTAGCCCCTGCCTCTGTATTCTCCACTCTTTTCTCACTCCTTTTCTCTGTGCCAGATTGGAGCTGGACAGTTTCATCCCTTGCATGTAAGTGTAACCTGTGCTGTTGCTTGTAGAGTGGACCATGTGTGTGTGTTTTTTTTTTCTCTGAGCTTTTTTAAGACTTAAATACAAAACTGTGGGTCTGAATTGGTTTGGTTTCAGATGGGAGATATTTTGCAGCTTCCTTTAAACTGCCTGTCTCGCTTGGAATTGCTCCCAAGTAAAACAAGTTGTGGCTACAGAAGCTAAGGTGCTGGTTTGTCTAGTGGCTAGAATAAGGGACTGTGTGTGTAAGCTTGTTCTCACCTCTACCATAGACTGGCAGTATGACTGTCATCCAGTGTACAAAAAGGTGACACCTGTTTCAGTGTTTGTAATTCTCTGAGATCTGTGGATGAAAGGGCTGTAGTAACACATTATCATTAGTTCTCACTCTCAAAAAATCAGAGGGAGAAAAATACTTTTCTTAAATGACCATGGGAATTAAGCAGAACGGTATCTAGGGGTTTCTGCTTCCTTTCCCTGGGCAGTTGAACTCTTTTTGGTAGGGGAAAATGGGGAACTTCCGCCTGCAGAGGGTTTCTGTGCCTCCTAGATTGTATGCACAAGCGGTTGGTCTGATGAAATCCTACCTGGAAATCATTAACTGAGACTGGCTTCCTGCCAATTTTTTCCATTTGTCAGGAAACTTCCTCAGTGTCTGCCCAACTCAGAGTAGGCAGGGCTGATCCTGATCCTGTACTTTGCTGGAATGTGTTAATTATTGAGAAACTGCTTGCCCACCATGTACCTGGGGGCTGTCAGTTCTAGACTTGCAGGTACAGGGAGCTTGGGCTGGGCTGGGCAAGGGAAGTGCTATACTGGCAATGGGGAAATATGGAGACAGCTCTCCTCTTTCAGCAGCATCAGTGGCTATTTAGCCCTGGCAGTTAGCTAATTACCGGGGTTACTTATGTGATTCAACTTGAGTTGGTAAATTTGTGCATTGTTGTTTGCAGTGTTGTGGAGGTGATCCCAGGATGTGAGACACAAAATGGATGATGTAATCCTTTATTGGACCAACTTCTGTTGGTGAAAGAGCCAAGTGCTTGAGCTCCAGTTCCTTTTTTAAATGAAATATCAGTTAAGATATCTTGAGCAAACCCTACAAACAAAAATTCATCCCTTTAAAAACTAAAATCTGCTTCTTCCCACTCCCTGCTGATTGCCAAAAAGTGTCTGAACAAACTGGTAACTCATAAACTTGTGTTCCAATTTGCCATTTGGAAAGGCATCCTTTATAATCTGTACAAGGGTTTAGCTACTGGAAGAAGGATCGAACAGTGATCCAGTGCTATGGGCTCCTTCCATGGATATCAGAGCACTTCTCAATACACTTAAGTAAGGGACGTGATAATACTGAATTGGAAGTGCAAAAGTTAGCTTGGCCAAGACTGTACAACAAATCAGAATGTGTTGGAGAACAGAACACATCTCCTGATTTGGTCATCTGTCTGAATTCTGTACCTCACTCCCTGTATTGTGATTGGAATGTGAGGTTCAACATCATAAACAAATTAAAAAAATCTAATGAAGGGGAAAACTGCATTGGCTGGTCAGATAGATTTCGTGAACGACTGTTTCCTGTGAATATGTAGTCTTTCCTACACACTTACCTGTGATTTGAAACTTTTAGGTATCAAAAGATGATCGCAGTGATGTAGAGAGCAGCTCTGAAGAGGAAGACATGACTTCAAATAGCACAAAAGGAATCTTCAGCACTTCAAGCAATGGTGCCAATCGGCTTAATGGTCATGTGGCTAGTGCTCAGTGGCCAGGAGAGGCCTGAGGCAAACATGGACTCTCTAGATATCTAGATGTGTTGCACTCAACATTCCTAAGTGATCTTTAATCTAGATACCCCTTCCTTCAAAAAAAGTCCATCAAATCTGAACTAAGCATAGTCCAGACCTGTTGAAGGTTTCATGCCACAGAAGGGACCGAGCCAATTACTAGTGCAAAAACAAAGATGCAAAATTCCACTTTATTAAATACAAAATGGCTTATTTTCTTAGTCTCCTAGTCCATCTCTAATATTTGCAGAAGTATTTGTGTGTATGTGCTACAAACTGTTTTTTATTAGGATCAGCTCAAGCTTGATGGAATGAGTTTGGGCTGGGACGGACACTGACTGTGGACTGTGTACCTTTCTAAAAATGTTTCGTGACTTGGAGCAGGTCCAGTATGCCTTCTTGATGCACTCCAGGATACATTTAGATTGTGTGATCTAGTATCATTCTAATAGATCATGCTGTAAGCTGCCCAGGCTGCAGCACAGAGATTTTTAAATCAATTTTAATGTATCAGTCCTGCTGTGACTGTGTTACAGCCATGAATTGAATCAGATTCTGATGGACAAAGCATGTTTTAACTTGTCATTGGGATGCTCTGTGTGAAGGAGATTATATATAGTTTATAATCTGTGCTGTCAAGATGGCCCGAGTAGTATTTACTGCCTATTGTGGTGCTGAAATGCCCATCCGAAGTCTTAAATAAACCTAAAAGAAGTTGCACTCCAGATCCTTATTTAGAAAACTATCACAGCACAGCCATACTTGCAACGCATGTGAATTTAAAGACTTTTACAGGATATGGTTAAGATTTATAAGGCAGGACATTAGCCAAAAATGGACAATGCTGGTAGGTTATATTAACTTTCCACAGGGACAGAAGTTGCAGCCCTGTCTGTGTTTAAGACAGAAGTGAGCATCGCTATCCTGATATCAAGGTAGTGGAAAGGCAGCCACAGCAAAGGCTTCACTTCTTCCTTTACTCAATGGTACTTCAGGGGCAATGGAAGACACCTGAGTGTGTCATAATCATGTGCAGGACTTCAGAAATGTCTTATTTTATACAATTGTTTACTCTTCTCTGATTTTAAAAAAAAAAAGCTTCAGAAACTTGTTTGACTTGCATTTTTTCAGCATTTCTCTTAAGGAGGCAGCTGCCTCTGCTTTGTAAACAACTCATCTTGAAATATTGAACAAGTTTGGCATATACACTGCAGAAAATAGTGGTGGTGGTCTTCTGTGTCCCCCATGTGCTGGTCCCATAGGACTGCTATCCTAAAGGAGAGACTTCTGATTAAGATTCTGTGCTTCACTTAAGTGACAGCTACAATGTTCTGACCAAATTCCAGATTAGCTAACTACCAAAGTAGGTCAAATGAGCTTTAATCAAGTCTCATGCTCTTCACTAACATTATTTTGGAAAATTAATCACAGGCTGCAAAGCTGAACAAATTTCCTTCATGAATATTTTCATCAGCCCTAGCTCCAACAACTTTTATTCAGTGTCCCTTAATTGCCCAAAAGTTAGTGCCTCTTGCTGAACTTTTGCTCTGTGTTCTTCTCAAGCATATCTGTGGCAAGAGAACCATGTCTTAAGTATCAAACTTAAATTTATCAATATGTAGGGTTCATCAAATTTGAGTTGGATCTTAAAATAGCTACCGCATACCACTATTTTCTCAGAGTGCATCTACACAACACCCTAAACTTGAAATAAGTTATGCAATTTGTCACTATCTAACATTGAAATGAAGCTACAAATTAAACTTTTGGATGTGAGTGCCTGGCCATTGGGAGTAAAACGTGCAACTGTTAAATTCATACACTTATGGACGGTGACTAGAAAACTTTAATGTGGGTGTCAAACCAGTGTTGATAAAAATCTAATCTGCTTGGGAACAGGACTCAATCCAAAATTGTCACAGAAATTTGCTCTCCATTTCCTCAGTTTGAGTCCACAATGGCAAATTCGATCAGTACAACAAGTACTCAGCAGTGTGCAAAATCCACACCCGAGCAATGCTCTAACACACACTTAACACCTGCTGTAGATAGTACTAGGTGGACTGGAGGACTCTTGATACAATTTACCTAATAGGGAGTAGTTGTATCTATGGGGCCCATGTCACACTGCTAACCCTCTGCACCACAATCCCCAGGTCACAACTAATTTCATTGTGAGGATTTCTTCCATCCATGTGTTGAATAAATACGTGCACCAAGCCATGCGTGAATGTGCACCACAAGTATAAGCAAATAACCTAACTGTGGGGCTACATCTACACTGGCACCTTCTTGCACAAGAACTCTTTTACGGAAGAGTTCTTGTGCAAAAACTCTTCCAAAAGAGAGCATCTACACTGGCATGTGCTTTTGCACAAGAGCATCCATGCCAGTGCAGACGCTCTCTTGCGCAAGAAAGCTCTGATGGCCATTTTAACCATGGGGCTTTCTTCCGCAAGAAATTCATGTTGCCTGTCTACACTGGCCTCTTGCGCAAGAACAGTTGTGCAAAAGGGCTTATTCCTGAGTGGGAGCGTCAGTTCTGGCACAAGAAGCCCTGATTTCATATATTAGAATGTCAGTTTACTTGCGCAAGAACATGCGGCCAGTGTAGACACAGCCTGGGTGTTCAGCTAGTCAGCCACGTGGCATCTGAATTAAGGATGTTTAGAAGCAGATAAGTGACTAATCGCAATAAAGGAAGATGCTCAGAAGGAGCTACCCCCACTGTGACTCTGCAGTTTAAATATAGTAGGAGCCAGGCACCCAGGCAGAGGTGCAGCAGGGATTGGCCCTGGACTGGCACAAGCCAGGACCACTACAGCACTGCATTTTAAATGTTGTAAGAGCCATTAACTCTTACTGCATTTAAAATGCAGAGCTATAGCCATCCTGGACCAGTGATATCCAGGACTGAGCCTGGCTTGCTGGACCTGGCAGGAGCAGGGACTGAGCAGCTCCTGTTAGTAGCCAGTCCTGCCTGCTGTGAACAAAGGCTGCTTTGCAGCAACCACCTCATTTGCTGGGGGACTTACCTCCCCCCTGGGACCTCCTGCAGATAGAGGCTGCTGCTAGAGCAGTCTCTCCCCTCCCCTTGACACACCTGGAGATAGTCCTGGGGGAACCAGATTCCTCAATTGCTGCCTCTGATTGGGGGGGGGGGGGGAGAGCAAGTAGTTGACTTGACTCTGCAATAAGCTTAGGCTTATCAAGTAATAGTCTACTTGCTTACATCCCTAATTTGAATTGTTACAGGGAACACTGGGCCCATACCCCCTCCCACTCCCTGCATCCCTCCTCCAGGTCAGAATCCTCTCCTACAACCATACCCCTTCATGGACCTTACCTCAATTCCCAACCCCTTCACTCAAACTCCCTTTGACCCCACACGTCTTCCTGCACCCTAATCCCCTTCCTCCTGTCATAAGACCAATCTCCATCCAAGACCTGTTATCTCCTCAAGAACGTGACCTGTGACCACTTAATCATTTTCTTGGAGTGCCCTCCCACCACTAAAAACTGCCCTGAGCTACAGTGTGTTAAGCTCTCACAAGCCCTTAATTTCTCAGCCTGTGGCAACTCAGTTGGCTGAGGTGGGAGAGGAGAATTTGAGGCGGATCCCGGCAGCCAGCGCACAGATGTAGCTTGAATGGACTCCTTCACGCGGGCCCTTCTGGTCACAGACGGACAAGTGGAGACAAGTAGAATATTTAATTCTCACATGATCAAGCCAGCTGCTCCGGCAGAGTCCTGAGGGCAGGGAAACGCCCCACGCTGCAGCAGGGCTGCCAGCCCCTGCCGCAGGTGTCAACTTAGTCTTCCAC